CGACTATCTTTTGCTTGGGCAAAGTACTGCAGCCTTGAGGAACGGGCCCAAGTTGACATCTTGGCTGCACTTGTGGTGCTAGACTGCACCTGGACTGCACAAACAAAAGTTGGCACCGTCACCAACAGATAAATGAGCCCCACTGAGTTAATCCACTAAAGTGCTTAAGTACATAATGGCAAACTATCAATAATCATTATTTTGTGACCGTTGGGAGTAAAATGCTCACTCGTGATATTTCCGCAGGAAATTCGCAGAGTATTACACAGAGTGAGTGGGACATGGCCTATCCCAGTTCGGGTGATGTAGGAGGTTGTGATTGCCAACAAAGGCCTGTAGCCAGCGAGCTGGTGTGCTAAATGTAAAACCACCTCGTGCTTGCATACGTGTCTCTGTCTGATTTCCCGAACGCAAAGTAGCTCTGCTCTTCACTGGCTCGAGGGCTCTTTATGTCACGGCGACCAGAACTGTGCTCAGGACTCCAGGTGCAGCCTGACCAGAGCTCGGATCTGATTTCTGGAGAACTTAACTGGCTTTGGCACAATCTCAACCGATTTAGCCCAACAGGAATATCACACACATCTGCCCCCGTCGAGAACACTAGTGGAATCGAAGGGCGATGGGGAAGCACACACTGGGAATTCTTGGTAACAGGATCCTAATACATCGAGGCCTTTTCACCATAGGTTATTGGCCAGAGGAACGGATTGGATCTAAACAAATAACCTCCACACCCACAAAGAATTGCTGCAATTCTAAAAAAAAGGAGAGGTTTGGAGCCGAACTTCCTCACTGCTGCTCAATATCACCAGTTAACCCAGTAAATCAAATAGCTCTTTACAGCAGCGCTGTTTTAGTATTATACTTCAACTTGTGACACAACAAACATAGTTTATGGTTCTCTCCCTAAAGATAAACCATATAAAGATCTCGCTTTCTCTCTGAAACTTATTACTGGCTGAATGTACTTTAAGTGCACTATCATCTGAGAAACCATTACTTTATCAAGACTGTTTTGTTGACGTTATTTCAACTCGTTCCAGTCACATAAAAATATAACACATAAAATGCAGCAGTCAATTGCGCACAGCAGTATCCCACAAACAGTTGTGGATTGAGTGATCAAATTATCATTTATTTTATTTAGTAAATTTATTGAAGGGATTATTACCACTGGAAAGCGATCCGCCAATCGACTAACAACCGGAACCCTATTTACTGCCTGGTAAACAGAGGTGTGTGGAGTAAGGAAACTTACCTAAGGTTTCGCCCTGCCCGGGAATCGAACCAGGGTCCTCTCACTTGCAAGGCGAGCGCTCTAACCAATGTGCTGCAGGCCTTTGTGAAGGCTGAAGGTACAGAGAAGGTTCGGGAAGTCACAGAAGCCTTCTCTGGGCGCTGCTAACCGTGTTTGAGGTTGAAATCGTGGGAAGGGGTCTCCAGCAAGGGGTGAGGAGGAAGCGCAGAGCTCAACGTTTGCAGCATAATTTCTGCGGGGGTGAGTTTTGCTTTTTCTTGTAACAGGCCCTCTTAAAGCACTTCTCCAGCCCACGTGAAACCAATGCAAGCATAGATTTCCTGCCAGCCCCAGCAGACATTGTGCAGGCAGACATCTCTAGGTTCAGGGTCATCCACATGGGAAGCAAGCCTGCCCTGGTTTGCAAATAACTCTGCTGTACCTCATCAATGTCTGGAAGTGGCACCGAGGGAAGGAGGGAAGGAGGGAATAATCACTGCCAATGATGAGAGACTTTAAACTTAACTGCTAGGAAGAATTGGGTTTGTGTATTGGGATTAAATAACTGCCCCACCACCACCATCCTCATCTCTGTGAACTGAATCGGGAGCTTAGCTCAGCTCAAAGTGCAAAGGTTTATGAGGCCTTCTTTTAGATGGCTGAGAAGAATCCTAAGTCAATGGGTTTAGGTTCAGTTCAAGAACAGCAGTGACAGCTTGCATTTATCATTTATACAGCGCCCTTCACGTGGGGTAATGTCCCAAAGAGCTTCACAAAGACAGGTTCCTGGTGGATATTATTTCACAGTGGAAAGGGGACCACGGGTCAATGCCTCACACCCTTTCTCCCCCTGCACTCAAAACCCATCGAATGAAAAATCTTCACCTTGTACTGCTTCACCCCTCCACTTCCCTCCTCCCACCACCCCACCCGCTTCTTCCCTCTATCTCCCACTCTGTGAAGCGTTTTGAGACATTTTCCAATACAAAAATTGCTCTATAAGTGATGGTTTGTTGTTTGACTTCAGGGAAATAATATAACAATATTAATAATAATCCTTGCATTTAATGGAGTGCCTTATCACGTCATTGAGACGTCTCAAAGTGCTTCACAGAGTATACTTTAAGGTGTAGTGACTGTATATTTTTGTGGGTGAGATGCGGCAACCAATTGCGCACAACAATGTCCTACAAACAGTCGTGGATTGAGTGGCCACATTTTTTTTGAAGGTTTTATTACCCCCATAAAGAGATCCGCCAATCGACCAACAACTGGGTTGGTCAATTGCGCACAGCAGTATCCCACAAACAGTAGTGGACCAAGTGATCAAATTATCATTTATTTATTTATTTATTACATTTATTGAAGGGATTATTATTCCCGGAAAGCGATCCACCAATCAACCAACAACCGGGTTCTTACTTACTGCTAGATAAACAGAGAGGTGTAGAGTAAGGAAACTTGCCCAAGGTTTCACCCCGCCCAGGAATTGAACCCGGGTCCTCTTGTTTGCAAGGCGAGCGCTCTAACCAATTCGCTTTAGGTCTCCACTTAAATCCCACAAGTGAGTTTATCATAGATTTCCAGTCCCATTGTTTTGTAGTGTTACTCGTGTTTAAGTCCCATCTGCCTTGTGGTGTACAAAAGGAATGGCTCTCAACATTGCCTTTTCCAAGGTTATCGCTCTCACCCTGACTCCCCTTTCCTCCTTCCAATCCTTGCATTTGATATAGCACCTTATTACGTCACTGTATCAAATGCGAGGATTATTAATATTATCATTATTGTAGTGTTTCAGTGCCCATAATTTGTCAATTTTTTGGGGGTATTTAAACCGGGTTCTCTCTCAGCTCCTGTTAAGAATGTACGGAAAACGGGCTTCAGATTTACAACTGAATGCAGCAATCGTGCATAATGTGATATGTGGCGTTAATAAGAGTAAATCTCTTGTCTCGCATCCCACTCGACGCTTCCGCACCCCAGCCCACCCCCCCCCCCCCCCACACACACTACTGGGCTAGAATTTCTTCCCAAGTGTCGGCCCTTAACGAGAGTTTAACCCTGCAAGCAAGCAACCCATCATGTGGTCGACCTTGAAGCAAGTGATGGAATTTGAGTGTAATAAAAGGAAGGAAATGCTTCGTTCTCAGCACCAATCTTACTTAGATTTTACTCAGGGTTTACTTAGATAAAGCACGCAGAAGAAACCTCATGCTTCTATACTTTTCTCAAACCCGCTCCCTTGGGAACGAGAGTGAAAGAGAGCTGAGAAACCGAGGGTTCACAGAGAGATTCACTAAGAGTGGCTCTCAAGTTGCCGGTGAGGAAATCCTGAGTGCGAAGCAAGGTGCTGTGAGCTGGTTGTGGTGTAGTGACTGTTACCAAAAACAACAACAAAAAATTCCATTTGTACAACACCTTTCACGTCGGGACATCCCAAAGCCCTGGACAGTCACGGATGTGCACTCGAGTGGGGGGGGGGTTGAGATCACGAGGAGTGGAAGGCAGGGAGGGTGGGGGACGGAGGGTGATTGAAGGCACGGTCGAAGAGGAGGGTCTTGAGACAGGCCTTGTAGGAGTTAGTGGAGGGGGCGAGGTGTAGAGACTTTAGGATGGAGTTCCAAAGGGTGGGGGAAGAAAGGCTGAAGGTCCGACCGCCTTTCTGCCCCCACCCTTTGGAACTCCATCCCAAAGTCTCTTCACCTCGCCCCCTCCCTTGCTGCTATCAGGCACTTCATGGCTGTTTGTGGGATATTGTTGTACCCAACTGGTGCTGTGTCTCACCCACAAAATACAGAGTCACTTCACTTTACAGTGTTTCCTGTGAATCGCTTTGAGACGTCTCAACGACTTGAAAGGCACTACACCAAATGCAAGAATTATTATTATTATTTAAGGTCGAGCTCGTGGAAGTTTTAAAACTTTAAAACTTTGAAGTTTTGCACTTTTCCACAGGTGGAAAGAACGGGTGAAAACGCTCCTCTCTTTCTCTCTCTCTCTCTTTTTCTCACACGCTCTCTCTCTCTCTGGCAGCTTCTCCAAAAGGCAACGGCAAAGACATTATTATCAATCATCATCATCATTAATTACTGTTATTAATCGATCGATCGAGTACATTAAAACCCAACTTGCTTTCTCCAAAGCTTTGCCCACAACTGCAAACAAGAACCAGTAATAGTTCATTAATAAAGAGGGGGAAGAGTAAAGGTGGTTAGAAATGTTTTATTTTGTTTTGAACCACCGAAACTGGATTCCAGACCCGAACCAGTTAGTTCAAGCTAAGCTTTAGAAGTCAATAGGACCTATTAGTTTCTTGCACACATAAAGTACTGTCGCAGTAAAGAGGGGCTTTGAACTTTACTGGATTCCCAGAGCAAACGCCAACCTCGGCTGCCCTTTCTGACAGGTGATAAAAACTTTTTATAGCAAATCCACACCAAGCCATGCACCAGGAAGTTGTCATAGGAGCAGAGAGTAAAAGCTGCGAAGAGATGGTTTTGAGGGGGGGTTGGTGGGGAGGGTGGGGGGGGGGGAGGTAAGGGGGAGGCGAAATCCCATTAAACCCACACAAAAGTTAATGTTGAATTTTTTTGGGGGAAAAAAAAGAGAAGCTCTTCAAAGGAGCTTGGGAATTCAAGGCTGCTTGTATTCAGTTTTTAAGAAAATGAAGGCGTCTTGCCTTGAGAAGTTGATTAGTTTTTGTTATGATGTTTATAATTTAGTGGTCAGTCACTGCCAGCCCAGCTTTCGACACTGTATTTACCAGGTAACGGACCTCCCGGTGAATGGCTTGATGATGTTTTTCGCCTGCGGGACTTGAATACAGTTACAATTGGTGACTTGCCTGCTCGGTTAGATTGGTCAATCATAGGCTGGACTATCCGTCTCCTGGCATTTATAAACCTGCAAAAAGGGGGTGGGATGGGGAAGGGGGAGAGGGAGGGAGGGAGAGAGGGAGAGAAAGAGAGAGAGAGAGAGAGAGAGAGAGAGGGAGGGTGGGAGGGAGGGAGGGAGAGAGAGAAAGAGCACAAATAAAAAAAAACCCTGTTACTTCAACACAGTTTTGTTGAAAGCGAAAGAAAACAATCTTTTTTACGGCAATTGCTCATGCAATCGGCAACGTCCTCGCACTGCCTATATTTACTCGGCTTCACATCCCACTTGACTCTTCCCCCCCACCCCTGCACCAACCGCTCTATCCATCCACCCGAGTTCCGACAGTTAACCCAACGCACACTCTGGGGTCCCCAAGCCTTGGCTCTCTTGCCAACCTGCGCCTAATACTTTCCGGAATTAGGTAAGCGGGAGGCGTCCCTCCAGGGAGAGAGTGCACGTTCCATTCCAACACTCTCTCTCTGGGATTTCCACGTGTAGATGGGATGACTGGAACTCTCAGTTGGGTTTGGATACTCTTTAAGCACGGTGATGGGTTTCGGCATGTGGTTCGGGCACCCGGCTGATCCCAAAAAAGTCCATCCACCCTCTCCCTCGTCCCCTCCCCGCGACCTCTGCTGACCTCTGGAAACGCAGGCTCGGGGACTCGGATTTGATTTATGGCTCTCTGTGTGTGTTTTTTTTCGCCCACAGCTGGACATTTCCATTTCATCTCTCTTTTTTTTCCGGGAGAGAGAGAATAATTAGACGGACCAGGAAACAATGCAAAATGCCCCACTCTCTCGCCTACCCCCACCCACAATCGCTCTCTTCCCCCACACCCTGAACACCCGTACCCAGCGTTCAAGGCAAAATAACTGCCACCGATAAAGGAAAAGTTGCTCATATGAGCATCTGTTGCCTCACCTAATTAGTGAAGAATCCCTTCTTTGTCTCGATCCCTAGTTTTCCTCTCACAGCCCTCCTCAGTCTCTTATAATACTGCTAACTCCGTTTAATGCCCACTGTTAAGAAAACTAACCTTACTGTGACTCTACAATCAAATAAGGCAATGTCTGGAGTTTTATCACTGCTGCTCATAGTGTTAGGGGAAAAAGCATCGCATCGCATTTCCTTTTAAAGCTTCTTTCATTCTTTCTTTGTTTCTCTTTCTTTCTTTGTTTCTCTCTCTCTCTTTCTTTCTCTCTCTCTTTCTTTCTTTTCTTTCTCTCTCTCTAACCCTCTCCACCATCACCACTACCACGCTCTCTCTCTCTCCTCTTTATGCAAAGTTTAGGGTCAAACGGAGGTGACTACCGCACACAATCAGTGACCTTCTGAATCTAGTTTTCTGCCGCAGATTTCCCCCCCCCCCCAACCCCCAAAAAACAGATTTGCACATCAAAATAAAAAAAAATCCCTAACCGCGGGGAGTGGTTAAAAGGGCGGCGAGCCTGCGAAATGAAATGGTGTAAAACTGGGAGCAAACAAAAGCATATTTAGAGGCACGTTTAAAAGGGTAGATAAATGCAAAAAAGGCCGTGGAGATAATGGGTGGGGGAGGAAAACCCTTGCTTTTCAACCTTATGTCAAAGTCTGCGTTGGAATACCAGGGAGCAAAAGTTAGTCAAAGGAACCAGAACTCATGTGGAGAGTTCACCTCGACCCCGTGGAGGAGGAAATTCGACTTTCCAATAGTCTACTTGTCTTGAATTTTTTTTCTTCATTTGCAGTCTCTTACATCGCGCTTCAGCCTGGCTCGGTCGGTAGCACACTCTCCTCATGAGTCGGAAGGTTTTGAGTTTAAGCTCCTACGTCGGGGACTTTGAACTCGCACACAGTCGAGGCTGATGTTCCAATGCAGCGCTGGGAGAGGGGAAGGGGGGGGGGGTCAGAGGTGTCGTACTTTGGATGAGATGTTAATCTGAGCTCCTATATGTCTGGACGTTAAAGATCCTGTGGCGCTATTCAAGAAGAGAAGGGAGTTTCTCTCTCTGTGTCCAAGCCAACAATCCCCCAGATAAAATTAGTCATTCACGTCAGGCTGTTTGTAGGACGTTACTGTGTGTGTGTGCAAACTGGCTATCATGTTCAACGACAAAATATAGTCACTACACTTTACAGTAACTCTGAGAGAAGCTATTTGGATGATGTGAAAGGCGCTGTTATCAAATACAAGGAGTATTTTTATTTTTATTGCACATTATCTGTCTGTCACATGCAAAGACCTATGAACATGCTTAAGAAAATCCAAACCAAACTACCGAGACCCTTCACATATGAAGTTCACCTGAGTCTGGAATGGAATGTGCCCGCGCTGTATGGAGGGACGCACCTTGCTTACCCAATCCTAGAAAATATTAAGCGCAGGTTGGCAAGAGCCTAGCCTTGGGGACTCCAGAGTGTGCATTGGTTGAGAGCGGGGGGAGAGGTTAGTGCATTTGGGACCTTAGATTTCCCCTTATGGAAGAGTGTATTGAAAGATTGTGTGGCACAATGGCCAACTTCCGGTCAGAACGAGACGGCTGGGATGCCTCAAATTGAGCCAATCGTCATGGCAATGTCTTTCCCCAAATCCTTGGCCTTTACGTGTTAAATGAGGAACATTGACTCCAGTTGGAAATGTTGTGGAATCCTTCCTGACATCTGCAATGGGGTGTCCAGGAGAGGCACAGTGATCCCCTACTAGCCCCCCCACTCCGCCCACCTCTCCCCCTTTCTGGAACTTTCTCCCCAAAAGGCTGTGGATGCTGGATCAATTCAAAGACTGAGGTGGATAGATTTTTGTTAGGTTAGGGTATCAAGGGATATGCAGCAAATCGAGTTGAGGTACAGATCAGCCATGATTTACTAGAATGGTGGAACAAGCTCAATGACTTGATGAGGTGCTATATCAAATGCAAGGATTATTATTATTATTATTATTATTATCACCACCAGTGCCCAGTGTGCAACAGAGTCCCATCTGCTCCAAGTCAGTGGGGGAAGGGATTATTCCAACTCGACTCCTGTTAACCCAGTGAGCCAAACCTCAAGATGGTCAGACTCCAGAAGTTACCCCAATGTACATTCTGGGGTCTCCAACCTTTAGCTTTTGCCAACCTGCGCCTAATACTTTCCGGGATTAGGTAAACAGGATGTGTCCCTCCAGGGAGAGAGTGCGCATTCCATTCCAACAATCTATCTCTGGGATTTCCATGTGTAGGTGGGATGTATGGAATTCTCAGTTTGGTTTGGATATTCTTAAGCACGGTGATAGGTTTCCGCACGTGTCAGACACATGCTGACCCCCCAAAAAAACAGGTAGGGTGGATAAGCAGTGGTAAGCTTGCCAGACAGTTCTCTCAATGGCAAGCTGTGCGATTTTTAGTTGGTTAGACCCCTAAATGCACAAGCCCTGGCTCTCGCCAACCTGCGCCTAGTACTATCCAGCATTAGGTAAGTGTGGTGTGTCCCTCTGGGGAGAAAGAGTGCGTATTCCAGACCCATGCGCAGTTGTGTGCAGATGTGGAATTCTCAATCTGGTTTGGATGCTCTTAAGCACGGTGATGGGCTTCCGCGAGTGTCAGACAGCAGTTGACCAAATAAAATCCGGTCCAGGCGAACAGCTTGGATAACAGCCACTATAGTATTGTTTACAAGCACGAAGACAACAGCAGCAGGACGGAGATGAGGACCTCTGTTACGCTGTTCTCCTCCCCCAGCCCAGACAATGAAACTGGGCGCGCTCGAGTGACACACAAAGAATTACAAATAACGTCCAGCACGGAAACAGGCCACTCGGCCTAACCAGTCCGTGACCAGTGTTTATACTCCGCACAAGTCTTCACACATTCCTTGCTCCCTCCCATACTCTTCTATTCCCTTCTCCCTCATGTGAAGGTCTAGCTTCCTCTTGAACGCATCCATACTACCTGATTCAACCACCGCTTCAGGCAGCGAGTTCCACAATCTCACTACCCTCTGCGTGAACTAGTTCCCCCTAAATTCTCTTTTGGGACCCTCGCAACAGTGCAGCGCCAGCCTACGCTGCGTGAGTTCAAAGTCCCCAATGCGGGGCTTGAACCCACAGCCTTGCTTACTGACTGACTCGTGAAGGCGAGAGCGCTACCGACTGAGCCAGGCCTGGCAGTGCAATCAACGGGGAGCCAGAAAGCAACCTTTCATCTGTGGGCAGCCCCCTGACTAACACTCCCCCTCGAGCTCTCCTCCATCCCCTCCCCTCCCCTCCCTCCCTGCCCCTCCCATCATCTCTCTCATGACACACTGAGTCTTCTGAATTCCTGTCCTGGCAGGAAGCCGGGTGGAACTAAAGGTTTCCTGTGAACCTTTGAAACCAAAGCACAAGTGTAGCGATTTTCTACGGCATTCCCTTTGCTCTTTTGAGGTCCATGGGGGGGAATGGGAGAGAAATGCTCTGCATTGTCACAGGAAAGACAATGCCCCTTTAAAGGACAGAGCAGCACGCAGGGGTGAAAAACCCCCTCGACTGAATGACAATGCGAACATTACTTGTGTTTGATATAGCGTGCGCGCAAAAAAAAAATCCCCCAAGATCTGAAATAGCGCAGGAGATAATAATAATCATCTCTGCATTTGGTAAGGAAGCTTATCACGCTGTTGAGAAAGTCTCAAAGCACTTCGCGAGGATTTTTCTGCAGTGTGTGTTTTGCAGGCGAGATCCGGCAGCCAATTTAGGCATGGCGATGCCCACTGGTCCGTGCAGGAGGTCAGAGATGAAGCAATAAACTGTTCTTGGAACAATATTTGTGGGGGGATTAATCCGCTGCCTCTATCCTCAGGTGAGTTCTGTGGTTACAGTAATAATCCTTGCATTTGATATAGCGCCTTATCACGTCATCGAGACGTCTCAAAGAGCTTCACAGAATATACAGTAAAGTGGAGTGACTATATTTTGTGGGCAGAACTTGGCAGCCAACTGCACGCAGCAGTGTCCCACAAATACTCGTCGAATTGAGTGACCAAATTATTTATTGATTGAGTTATTACCCCCAGAAAAGCAATCCGCC